AATTAGGATTTGGGCCAGCTGGGCTTCTTCGAGCGGTGCATTAAGCAAAACCACATCTAGTGATGCCTTCAAACCTTTCTTAGGGCAGTGCGAAAACCAAAACTGCGTCCTTTTAGAGCATAGCAAGCCGTTTTCGAGTGGCGCTTTAACCAAAACCGAATGATTTCCATCGCTTGGGCTGCTTCCATCACGGACTAGCACACCCTGAGCCCCCACTGGAGATACATAGATAGATAGAGAGAGAGAGAGACAGAGAGAGAGAGAGAGAGAGAGAGAGATATATATATATATATGTATATGTGTGTGTGTGTTTATACAAAAATGGGCTCAAAGGTTGTTGGCGGGAATTTTCTGAAGTGACGCAGACAGGTGGCGATTGAGGGGAAGAAGTGGTAAAATGTTGAATGGAAAGGGATTCTGGGAGGGTGGGGTGATACCAAATACGTGTAATGATGAAACAAGCCTTGCTCGCTTCCAGCTCTAGCTAATCGTGAATCCTAAACCCTAAACCCTCAACCCTAAGAAAGAGCTTCAGCGGCTGTGGGACTTGAACATGAAGGCTTCAGTTCTTTAGGCCTTCACCCCCCTCCACTTCAACCAAAAGCTTCGCGCCTCTGTGGTCCCTGACTCTCCTGAACTGAAAACTATGTAGAATCCTAGAATGTAGAGTCCCCCTTAAGTAGATGAATATGGCTTTGGGTATGTTATAATAAGATCGCCATATACCCCATATTTCATCTACTTAAGGGGGCCTATATCCTTGGAATCCACAACTCTGAAATACTTAGCAAAAAAAGTTCGGCTCATCCTATAAAGCGGGGAGGAGCCCCCGATGACATATGATTCATAGACCCCCAAAGAAACTTGAACACGGGCTCCGTCAAAAGGCACTATGAAAGAACCCAAGTCTTCCCTTAGAGATCCCCTGAGAAAACGACTTGACTAGAAACTCCTGAAGTGCCTGGTGACAACGATCGGCAGCGCACCGAAGAGCGTGAGGACCACCCCAAGATATCTGGAGGCTTCGCATGAATAGTGTTTGCAATGGCTGAACGGAGGAATTTCAGTTCTTGTTTTGAACTGCTGTTTGCCAAATGAGGATATAGTCTCTTATCGCTCTACAACATCATCGCCAGCGTTTCCTCTATTGTTATGCAAAGTTTCGGCACTATTACATCATGCTAATATATGTTGGTTCCTAGCGTGTACTAGCATGATGTAGCAGTGCCGTTATGTCATAAAGTCCTTTGCAGCAATGATCCCAGGCAGTTGAGAATGTGGACTTAGCCGGATCTCTTGGCACAGGAATTAACGTTTGGAATTCAAGGACTCCAGCACCATCAAAACTAAAAGCACTTGAATGGGTATCCCAAACAGAGAACCTCAAGAATATAGCAGGAATGTAGTATGAATACAAAGACCCTGTTAAGTATGCTCCTACTGTATTCCTGATATTCTGGGGGTTCCCTGTTTGGAGTCCCCATTACAGTCCTTTACAAGACGTTGTCACGCAGCCAGATCTTGCATGAATATTGGGCGACCCAGATGCAAGACGACCCGTTTTGAGGGTACCAGGGCCTTCGTCCCAACCTAAACACTCCCTGGAACCTCCAATATAGTTCCTTTTTGGGAATTGATATGATGGCTTGGTTCGGATATTGTTTAGGGGGCCCCAGAACGTTGCAACATTGGAGGGTAGATGTGCGGGTTTCCAAAAAACGGTGAGTCCAGGTGGTAATGACCGTTCCCAAAATGGATGGCGACCCGTATTACATTGATTTCAGGCCAGTCTCCATATGGGTAAACCCGAAACCCTGAACCCTAAACCCTAAAACCTAAATCCTGAACCCTAAACCAGCAGAGGTACTGTGGGTGCCGCAGGCCCGTGTTGAAGGGGAAGCCGCTACACCAGGGGACGGTGCGGCCGAACCTTCTGAGCTAGGGCTTAAGGTGTAGGGATAGGGGCTTGGGGTTTGGGGTGAATTGAGGCATGGGCGAGGCAGAGGGAAGGTACCGATTTTCAACGGTATTTCCGGACCTGGGGTGGCTTCTGAAAAGATGATATCTAAGGAATGCTAGCGAGACCCCTAAGAAAGGACCTCAGTTTGTTTGTAAACCCCCCACATTAGGAGGACCCCCTACCCTGTAATAGTGGTATAAACGCTATATAAGAGGACCCTAATATAATCCCTATTATCCCTTATAGTCACTATTACTGGGTGGGGGGTCCACCTAACCCCCACAACATCACGCTTCAAAGCCCTAGCTCTTCAGTGATGTAAGGCTGCAACCAGACTTTGAAAGCTTCAGGCTCCAATGGTTAATGTAGGAGGCTAAACAAGGGTGGGCATGTTGTAGTATGGTGCTTTAGCTTTTTCACGTATATTGTAGTATGGTACTTCAACTATAAGCAAAGATTCCAGGGAGGGGCAGATTGGAAAACATATCGCTTCTATTGTGTAGCCCCGGATCCTTTTTGTGGGGCTTCGTTTTGTGGCGGCTTGCCGAACAGATCAGTACAACATGATGCACTTTGCAACGGAACGGGCAGCCCCAATCTGCCACGTATGAAGTTGCCATGAATAGGGGGCACCAACATTAATCTCAGCCCTCACAACTCTCTTGATTCTCTCTTTTTACGAAGAGGATATCTGCCTAACTCCCTTACGCTTGGCCTCCTCAGCTGCAGTTGCACATACGATATCTGAGGTCTGCATCCAGGCTGCTTGAAGCCATAGTAGACGCCAGCAGCACCGATGGCATTGTAGGTGGCTGCGTTAAGTGCCTGCAGTCCCTAAACCCTACACCCTAAGCTGCAGTAGCATAAAACAAGACATCATCTCGGTGGTTTTCCACTGGTCCTTCTCAAGGAAAGCATTCACGAAAGGTTGCCCGAAAGCCCCTCAACCCTGCACCCTAAACCCATAAAGGGCACGGTGTTGGCCACTTCCCTTCTGTCTCTCAGCCTCAGATTGCTGTGACAACTGGAAGGCGTCGGAGGCTCCAAAAGACAGAAGAATGAAAATGCAGCACATGTGGCTGTATCATCATACCCTTGAAGTGTTTCAGAAAGAACCCCCTAGTTCAAGACTCTGGCTGCCACTTAGCAAGCTAGGGATGGATCTTCATCTCCGTCGCTTTTCAGCCAAGCGGAGAAGGAAATGGGGCTTAGGATCTCTGATCAAGCCCGCATGCAGCTGGACAAGCATGTTGTAGTCCCCCTTAAATAGATAGAATATGGGGTATATGGGGATCTTTTTATAATAGACCCAAAGCCATATTCTATCTACTTAAGGGGGACTATAATCCCTTTGCCCTGAATAAGATGGCTCAGCTTGAAAGCCAGAAACCTTTTGTCCTAAAGGTTCCTAAGCCTGGACCCTCCCACTCAGGGTTTAGGGCTTACACAAACAGATGTACCCCTAAGCAACGCATACTTCAGCCTGCCCTGCTGCAACCAGTCCAGCAAACATGGCCCAGCACCTTCGAAAAGGATGCGAAATAGCGCAAGTTTACGTGATTTGGGGGTTTCCCGAAATCAGGGGCAAGTCCCTTTCAAGGATATATACATAGGGGGCATTCAGGTCTAAATGAGGATACATAAGGTTTAGAGTTTCCTATTGTGAGTCCCAGGAATGAGGTCCATAATATGTTGAGGTCCATGTTGGGGCCTGTTATGTTTGGAAACCTCCGCATTTGCGAAGCGGACGATTGTGACCATAATGGCCGTAGTTAGTAACTGTGCAAGCACTTCTGGGTGTTACTTCTGCTAAGTCTGGTGATTCTCATGCTGAGCATAATTATGATTTCACTCTACTGTGCTCTTCATGTCTTCATGATTTGCATGCGTGGTGGCAGCTCCACTGCTACATTGGCCAAGTTCATCCTCCTCTCCTGATAACAAGCCCGTACCCTCCCCCTTGTAATCAGCGCTCCCCCCCCCTGAGTGGCACCATATTGACACTAGTTACCAATAGCTGTCATAAATTCGGGGCTGGGGAGCGATCATGATTAGGGCGGCAGATTGGATATGAAGGTGAATGTCAAGGTCCAGCTTGTGCAAAGCAGCAAACTCTGCGAGTGACATGTCGGGTCCTACGCCGCGATAATCCACTTCCCAGTAAATTCCCTACTCTCTAACACCAAAAGTTCCTCATGTAGTACCGTTGTACTGGTAGAAGACCAATAGCTAGTAAAGGACTTATCAAGCAATCAAAAATGTAGGGGTGGGGTTTGTATTATGAGGGGCAGGGGTCTAGGAACTGGCTACCTGCAGGGTGGTGGAGCTAAACGTCGTCAGCATCGGCAGAGCCACTTGCTGCCGTCCGAAACTCAAGCATAGAACCCTCTTAACCGCATGAATCTCTAAACCCTGACCCCTCCATAAACCAACACCCTGAAGCCTCTAAAAGTTTCCTTGAACTAACATTCCCTCTAAATCCTATAACTATAACCCCGCAACCCTAACCCCTGAGGTATGCTAATCTCCTAATCTTACCTTCAACCGTGCTTTAAGTAAGCAATTCTTACAAACCTAGAGCCAGCCCTAAACCCTGATATGGTATACCAAGATTACAACTTGGAGGGCCATGGGGACTTAGCAAGTGGGTTGGTAATGGGGATCACTGGGATTACTACATGGTAGATACAGGTTACGAGTATGCTGATACAGGTTACGAGTATGCTTGCCCTTATTTATGGCAACTATCAGACCCTAAACCTTAAACCCTAAACCCTGAACCCCTAAACCTTAAACCCTAAACCCTGCAGCTCTTTAAGCAGCCAAAACACCAGGCGGGGGCAGCTTTAGCCGCTTCGAAGGCTGCAGCGCGGCCGCTGGGACCTGGGTGGTTGCGGTTGGGGGGTGGGGGTGGATGGGAGTTTAGGGTTTGGGGTTTTAGGTTTAGGGTTTAGGTTCAGAACCCTTTGCCCTAATCCCTAAGCCCTATATAATCCCCAATATAACATCCTTTAAAGAGCTTAGACTATGGTTTAAGAATTATCGAAGATTAGGGTGCCCTTAAGGGACCTGGATATACTGACATGCAGGGTTTACGGTTATAGGGTTTGCTGTACTATATTGGGGAAATCATATAAATTACTATATATGCCCACCATTTAACTTAATTCAAGTAGTGTTTGGTGTTTAGAGTTTGGGGCCGAAGCGTCAGGATTCAGGTCTACACTCCCGCTGAATGGCAGATGACTCGCGCGGTCCCCAAGTTTGAGCTTACATCCGCGAATTCTTACCTACATACTGGGTCGCTGTTAAAGAGCATTAAGTTGCCATATTGTGGGTATACAGTATTAGAGTAATTCAGTTGAAATTCCTTAGCAGCAGCAGCCCAGCATAGAGCACCCTAAGCCCTAAAACCTCCAGGTGCGCTCGAATAGTGGGCCCTAGTGGGCCGCATAGACGGCTGTTGGAGGCTCTCCAAAGCCATCATGCCCTGAATGTATATCCCTTTAAGGGACCCAACACGTCAATATTTCTTGCAATCTGATTCTCCATTATTGGGGTTGTGTCCCCTGACCCTAGACTGATCCTAAAGCTCTACTTTCATGGGAAGCCGCAACCTCAGAGTTAGGCTTGAGAATGCGGGGTTTATCTGAAGTTCCATCCATGTAGCCGTAAATTTCCAGACCCTGTATTCAAACGACCTTCAGCTTAACTGTTAAACCCCTCAAAACAAACCCTGAAATACCCTTGAAGCCAATAAACCTGCAACTATGAAGAAGTGGAGGCCGCAGTCCTTGAGAGCAGAACTGACTTGCTTGTTCTCAGCAGGCAGTGAAGGAATAGTAAAAAATACAAACTGCTGTGCCAATCTTCCACTGCCTACCAATAACAGCAATTTTAATCCTAAACTCTGAACTTGTAACCCGGAACTCTAAACTCTAAACCCTTGAGTAGCTGTCTAAACCCTTTAGTACCTTCCGTTTTCTTTCCATTACCTACTAGCAACCCATAAGCTGAGGGCAGTGCCCAAGAAAGTTCCCACAGAGCCGGCCTGTACGAGTTTGGCAACTACCTGCCAGGGTGAAGAGGCAACCCGGAAACCCTAAACCCTAAAC